TTGTTTTTTTCTCAGATTATCTATTTTCCTCTAACATTTTGTCCTGTTTTTATTTAATTAATGATAAATGCTACATGCAGTTCTATGCTACAGAGAGATACTCATATTGATAAAAATAACAGTTATTCTACTTCTAGAAATTATCCTGAGGCAGTGCTCATATCCAGCAGAAGATTTATGTACAAGTATATTCATCCCAGGAAAAGTAAAAATAATAACTCAGAAAAAAACCTATATATATTCAAGAACAGAGGAATTAAGCTTATTTTATTTTAAAGAATTTATTGTACATAAATTCCGTAGTATATTTTACAGACATTGAAATTTCCTTTTTAAATTAATATTTATGATGTGAGAAAATGCTAGATGTAAATCGGAAAGGACAAAACTATCTGTGATCTTAATGTACATGTACATATTACATATAAATAAAACAGAGAGGAAAGAAAGAAATTAAATTTTAGCAGTAATAACTTGTGGGCAGTGACATTTAAAATTTCTGCTGTATGTTATACTTTTTGGTTTTTTTTAAGTCATCTACAGTTGTAGGTCTTTTTATAGTAAACAGAGGTATGTACTTAATATGATGTTTATGATCAAATAAAATTATGTATTTGGAAGGTTTTGAAGCTTACAGAAACTGCTACAGTTGCAGCAAGTGTCAGATGGAGGAAATGTTGTCTACTCAATGCTATAGCATTGGGAACAAAGAGGAAAAATATAAAAAGGTATCCATGAATTTTAATATATTTCTGATTTCATTTGTAGGTCAAATAACAGGATAATAAATCTTTCTTACACAATGACTCTAGAAGATTATGGACTAGTAAAAACACGTGAGATTTTTGTCTCTGATTCATCTCAGGTAAATATCATTGAATGTTATCAAATCACTCTTTAAAATGGATCTAATGTGTTATGTGTCTGAGTATTTGTTTCAAAATGCTTTTGTTATTCCTATGGTAGGGTTTAGCTGCTGTACAACAGAAGCCACCTTCTCTTCCCCCTGCACCTTGTCCTTCAGAAATCCAGACAGAGCCTCGTGAAACCTTAGAATACAAAGCAGCACTTGAGCTAGAAATGTGGAAAGAGATGCAAGAAGACATTTTTGAAAATCAGGTTACTTTTTAAATGTTACTTTAAAACTCTTATTTTTCTCTACCTAGTAAAGCCTACTATTGTGAAGGAAAAGTATGGTATGCTCCCTTGTCCCCTCTCTAGTCCCTGTGAATATCAAGAATACCTTACTCCTAAAGAAAAATTGAGAGTAAAGAAATATCCTAAATGTGACAGAGTGACAGAGCCATTCAGAAGATTTCCCCTAAATTTTGTCTTAGGGAGAATTAGGACTGAAGGTTAGAGTTCAAAGGTTAAGAACATGGAGATTTCTTTAAATTTCAGGTCCTCATTTAGTGTACCCTCCTGGAACTTGGAATTGTAAATCTTTAAACAAGAGCGTTAGAAAACAGAATTTTCCATGTACTCTCTTGAATTACATTTACATGTGTATTATTATCACTTGCCTCAGGCATCCTTTAAAAGTAAAAAAGAACACCTGAAAGAAACATCAATGATCGCTTAATTTTTTTTTTTTTAAATCTTCACCTGGGGGCATGCTTATTGATTTTAGAGAGAGGAGAAGGTAGTAAGAGGGAGAGTGAGCAACACATTGATGTGAGAGAGAAACGTCGATTGTTGCCTCTTACACACTCCCCAACGGGAGCTGAACCTGCAACCATTTGGTTTACAGAATGATGCCCCAGCCAACTGAGCCACACCGGCCAGGGCAGTGATCACTTCATTTTTAACTGAAAACAACTGATTTGTTTACCTAAAATATTTAGGTTTTCCTAAATATTGTCACATTGACTTTATTTTTCTTCCTTTTGTAGCTAAAGCAGAAAGAACTGGCTCATATGCAAGCTCTTGCAGAGGAATGGAAGAAGAGGGATCGAGAGAGAGAATCACTCGTAAAGAAAAAGGTAGTAACATATAGAAATTGAAGGAGGAAAGGAAGAATGTTAATGATGGTGTCTTGTAAATGTATTTTTGAAATTGTATGTGTTCTGAGTCTGGTGAAAAGATAACTTTTATTATATTTTAGGTGGCTGAATATACTATTCTGGAAGGAAAACTTCAAAAAACCCTAATTGATTTAGAGAAGCGAGAACAGCAGCTTGCCATGACAGAATCAGAGGTATTGTATTTATCAAATACCTTTTTATTTTTTTAAAGATTTTGTGTATTTATTTTTAGGGAGAAGGAAGGGAGGGAGGAGAGGGTGAGAAATATTGATGTGAGAAACATGGGTTGCCTCTTGTAGGCACCCCTATGGGGAGTGAACCCACAACCCAGGCATGTGCCTTTACTGGGAATGGAACCAGTGACCTTTTGCTTTATGGGACAATGCACAACCAACTCAGCCAAAACCTGTCAGGGCCATCTATCAAATATCTTTATTTCACAGAATCCACATATTAGGTTTATACCATTCATTTTTTTCTTTATACTCACATAAAATGTATTTCATAGAAATTGTCTTTTGAATATTATGGAAAAAACTGCTGTTCATCTGGATAAAGCATGTTTTCTGTTTTAGAATGTAAGGAATATGTAGAAAGTGTTTGTTGTCTGAAATGGTTAACTATTATTCAGCCAGTTTGGTTGACTTCTGCAATAGCGGAGACCTTTGGTTAACTTTCCTGTTACGTAAAGGAATGGATAGTTGCACCACCTACCTAGAGAAACGGGGAAAATGTAGCCCAGGTTCAGGAGCCTAGAGTCCTGATTTTGTTCCATAAGAAGGAACTTCTCTCTCTTTCTTGCCCTTTAAAGATTAGATCCAAGAATATATGAGTACTAGGCCTAGTTAGCATTTTTGTTAGGTCATACTAAATTTTACCCTACTTTTTAAAATTATTGTAAAAGTAATTTCAAAATAATTAGAATTTCTTCCATATTAAAATTATATACTCCTTTCCTACTCAAATACGTTTCTTAAAGTTTTCTCAGAATATCAACCTAACCTTATCTTCATACATTTTCCAGGATGTCTAAATTTATGTAAATGTTTAAACTTAAAATGTATATTTGTTTCTAATACTGAGAGTCTTATCTTCTGTGTAATTAGGCAGAAAATAAGTTTCTAGAAGAAGAGGAACTTGGGTTTATTTGCTTCTACCTTAAAATGGGTTTATTCAAGTAGAAATTTTAAGTGATTAGGGTGTTTTCAGTTGAATTTATACAAGTCATAAATGGATTTTTGTATATACTTTGTATGTTAGAATTAAATGATTGAAAATTTATCATTTCAATATATTTAAAGATTGTCTAATTCCCGAAAAGTGTATGAAAATAAATTTGTAAGCATTCTGAACATTTGACTGTTTATATAGATGATAGAATATTGAACAGTATAATGCAGCTCAGAGTAGGTCAGCCTCTTAAAGATGCACTTGTTTTAAGCTTCAAAGAGAAAGAAAGGAACTGAAATCAGAACGTGAACGGAACCTGCAAGAACTTCAGAACTCTATCCGCAGGGCCAAGGAAGATTGTGTTCACCAGGTAGAACTGGAAAGGTTAAAGATCAAGCAGCTAGAAGAGGATAAACACCGACTTCAGCAGCAGGTTGGATGAAATACCTGTCATCTCTTTACACTTAGAGTTTATTTGCATTTAGAAATGATAGGTTTCCTTCACTAAAAAGCTACAAAAGCTCACAGTAATTTAGACAATTAATATTTATTGCACTAATGTTCAAATATACTTTAAGTTGGATCTTCTTTTCCTAAGTCAAAGCCTAAGGGCTATATTGGAATAATTTTCCTCCTCTTACAACTATTTGCATGAGATTGTGCTACATTTCAGGTAACTCTCAGCTTAAAATCTTTTTCTGATAAATCTTCGTTTAGCAAACATAGATACATAGCTTCTTGTCACTGGACCAAATTCAGTTAAGAGCCAAACTTCATGATAGAATTGTCTGTGCCCCTCTTCATTTCCTCACCTTACCCTCACCTCTCAACCCACCCCACGTTGCTTTCCATCCTCCAGCAGCCAGTTGTCAAAGAAGCCACCAGCACTCAGTTACTTAGTTCAATGGGCACTTTTCATTTCTCATCTTACTCAGACTTAATGACATCAACACTATTGTCATTTTTTACACATTCTCTTGTCCCAGCCTCTCTAACACCACTCTCCTTCCCTGGCCACCCTCAGGCTCCTTGGCAGGCTTGTTTTCCTTTAGTCAGTAAATGGTAGACTTCCTCCAAGTTCCAGACTTATTTGTACTAAAAAATCTTATTAATGCCCATGGGTACAGAGACAACCCTGTACGTCTGGGACTTTTCACATTTATATCCCAGACCTTTCCGTTGCACTCTAGACCCAGAGGTCTAACTGCCTTTTTGACATCTCTAATTGGATGTGTAAAGGTATTTAAAACCCAGCATGATCCTCCCATCCATGCCAGAACTTCCTGTAAGTGTTCTTTATTCCTGTTCTTCTGTTGCAGCCAGCAATATTTTTGACATTCGGGAATCATGACACCCTCCGCTAAAACCTTTCAGTGTCATCTTACTGCTCATAGGATAAAGATCAACATAGTTACGTTGCCTTACAACCTCTGCATAGTTTGGAATTAGCCTTCCTCTCACCTCCTCTCCCACTCTTTTACCTCTGCCCTATACCCCAGCCACTCTGGTCTTCCTCCGGTCATCCAGCCATACTGTGTTTGCTTCACCAAAACCAGAGGATCTTTTTGTGTGCTACTGGCCCAGGGAAATTGTCCTTGACCCCTGCTCCCCAAGTTGTTGTTATATTTTCATGGGATATTACTCTCCTTTTAATTGTCATTAGTGTGACAATTTGATCAGTGTCAGATAGTTAGCTCCATAAAACTGTTCCAGTTTATATCTGTATGCCTAGAGCCCAGCCAGCCTTTATCACATAATTTGAGCTTAATAAATATTTGCTAAAAAATAAAAAATAGAAACATCATTATCATTTCTCAGCCTTTTGGCTAAGATCAAGTGTAGTATCTGTTCTTAGCAGGTTAATATCTGATACGTCCTCTATCCGAGAACTTTCTATTAAATGGATTTTTGGAGCTGGGGGATGGAATAGGAGCTTGCTCCACCCACTCCACACATGGACCCGGTATTGCAGTACTTCTGAGAATGGCACACCAAAAGAAAAAGAAAAAGAAAGAAAGAAAGAGACATCAAACTGTTAAATATTAAGCATATCTTGAAAAATTTCACTGTAGATTAGATATACATGATGAATGCCTCCAAAGTCTTCAGTAAATTCTGGCATAAAGAATAGTTTTCATAGCAGTTCAGGGTGAGTTAAGGTCATGTTATTTAGCAGTTGTAAATATGAATTTGATTGTTACTATGGAGATCTCATTTAAAATATGAAAGATAAAGTTGTAAAAGTAGGCAGTTGTGATGAGATTCACCAAATGCTCCTCTTCTCTCAATTATTGGGAAGATTCAGCCATCTACAGCCAGGGGAGTTCTTGAAAAAACCCAGGTCTCGACCTTGTCCCAGACTGGTATAATTAGCTTACATCTTTGTCGGAAGAACCTTTGTGGGAAGAACTGGGATTTCAGAAAATTTACCTAGGGAACTCCTAAACCATAATCTAAAGACCTGGGGGAAAAATGCGAAGGGCAGCAGAAGTTTCTGAGGTACCCATGTTGCTAAGCCTACAGCTGCACACATTTTACATTTTCTTTCTACAAAAACAAACTTTTTAGGCCCTTACTCTGAATATGTGCTATCTGTACAATTCTAACTAGACAAGTAGAAGGGACTGATAGACATACTGTCAGCAAAAACTGATGGAGACAAAGTATCTATGTTCAAATATGTAAGGGCAGTTACCAGAACTCAAAAAAATCAATGTAGTTTATGGACCACTTTGCAAAGGAAAAAAGAGCCCCGTATGCCCAACAGCTTACTGCTTTACCACCTGACTGGAACCACAATAATTGGTTATGATAATGTCCCTGGCTGATAGGAAACAAATACTAAATATTAATTTTATTAGGTTTTGTTTAAAACAGAAGTAAGATAGTGTAGAAAGGTTTTTATTCAAATTTAAAAATAAAAGTTTGGATGTTCAAAGAAGGAAACTTATGTTATTTGGAATATTTACACATATAGTATACCTCATTACCTAAAGATGCTAGATAAATTCTAATTAGAATTGTTTGTATTTGTTGGCATAAAATGAGAATTTATTAATGATAATTTAAGTTCTATTTTTACCACAATTTTTTTCAGTATTTCAAATTTAGTTGTCTGTCTTAATAAAGAAATAATTGGTTTATCTAATGATGGATGGTTAGTTATACTGGTTTGTTTTTGGAAAGCATCTGCAACAGTGCTTATTTATGTTTGATTTTTTTTTTTAAATCTCTGATTTGAAAAGAATCTTTATATCCTCACTTTTCTTTTTTTGGTAGTTTTGAAACTTCTAAGGGAAATTTTAGAGTATTTAGTTAAGGCAGGCTATCTCTTATTAAATTCAGGAAGTATTCCCTGCTTTCCACTAGAGCACTGTTTTAAGGGATGAAAAGATCTGAATTCTAGTCATGCCTCTGCTACTGACTAAGCTCACTGGCTCTTTGACCCTCATTTTTCTTACCTATAAATATGAAGGGGTTGGGCCAAATAATCTTTAAATTACCTTAAATTGTAATAATAGTGTTTGAATTAAAAAATTCATATAGTACCCAATTTTAAGAATAAATACTGCATTAAAATTAAACTCATATTCTTACATGTAACATCTTAAGTATAAAGTAGCAGTATTTTTATAAGGTAACTTTTTCATTTGCCATCTACAATTTAACAAAAAATAGTTTCCTTATAATGAGTTTATAAGAAATTTCATACTCTTAAAAAGTTTTTGTATATTGTCAATCAGTTGATTTACTACATGTTTAGGATTACTAGAGATCTTAGTTTTTCTCATATATTTATGTCTAAATTCTCTGCTATGAACATGTTTAGAATATAAAAAAATGACACTGATGAATTCTGTAGTATTAAACTTATATCTGTTGTTTTAAAATTGATGCAATACTTTTTTTTCAATACAGCTTAATGATGCTGAAAATAAGTATAAGATTTTGGAAAAAGAGTTCCATCAGTTCAAGGATCAGCAAAGCAACAAACCAGAAATCCGTCTACAGTCTGAAATAAACATTCTCACTTTGGAAAAGGTACCCATGTCAATTTATGGCAACTTAACTAATCCTAATGATCAATTTGTGAAGTCAGTAATGACATTTGGATATACACGGTAACATTTTACAGAAGTATTCTGGTATCAGATAATGTATCAGAGAATTCAAGGCACATGATATAGTCAGTTCTGTTGTTTGCAACCAAAGGCTCTAATTAGTGAAGCTACTGACAAACTCTAGGAATAAAGGAATTCACAGAATTGTCAGAAAGGCCAAAGAAGCAGTTTCAAAATACGGGCAGGGTGAGCAAGGAAGGCCTGCTCTATCACAAAACAGTCTACTCAGGACGCTGCTCTTAGTGCTATCACTGGCATGGCACTGGTTCTGGTGTCACGCTGTTGATGCTCCAGCTTTGCAGTAGCCAATTTGAATACTCTCTCTGCATATCACTACCCTTGAGATTCAGTGTCCCAGACAGGAGCATTTATTTAAACCATAGGCCTGTGTGTACTCTGCTCATAGCTTGTAAGAAGGAAGAAGCTATTTTGTTTTCTGTGGTTAGATGCCAAGTCCTGCCCTTCACTTATGTTGGGATTCCTCACAAACAGAAAGAGTATTTAGTTAGGTTCTAGACATTAAAAAATGTATAATGTGCAACAGACAACCTAAGTTTGACAATATGTGCTCTTACATTTTAGTTTGATAATTTTTAGGCATTATTAAAAAGATAGAACATACACAGGAAAACAACAGGTAAGCAACCTTTATAAATTAAAGAATTTCATTGCCAGCCATTGCCTGTTTTTCCCTTCAGCTTTGTATTGAAGGCTTCCTTGCCCTTTTGTTTCTGTATATTCAGCCACTAGGGGGCACTAACAGAAGATCAGTGGATGGGAGTTGATGCTAGGGTAGTTCTTTCCTCTCTCCCTTTCTCTTTTTTTTGGGGGGGGGGGGCGGGCCTGGCAATAATTGTACCTTTTTATGGTGCCATCTCTCATGAGTCATCCCTTCCCCATCTTCCTTTGGACAATCCTCACTGTGGTTCTAGCTCACTGGACAACCCCAGTTTCTGGGTTCCTAGCAGCAAGAAGTACTTCCTGGTACTTCCTTTTGTAATCCCTCCAACCCAGAAGTAGGGACTTCTGCTATTGCTAATCACTAGGTTACCTCACTATATCCTCTTTGGCATTTCTGCTCTTTCATTATCTGTATAACGAGATTCTTATATTAAATTATGTCTGTCTGAAAGACCTAGAGTGATTTCTGGCTTTCTGACAGAATGTTGGTTGATAGAACTGGTTTTTCATTATTCAGCAAAGATGTGTACTGTTTCTAACGCCACGCTAAATACTATCATGAATGATATAAAAATATTCAGGATAGAGTCAAGTAAATAACAAGTTACAAAAGGAGATGAGAAACTTACTCAAATAATTATAGTGAAATGGGAATGATAGCAAGTATCACCTAACTTTCTCTTAATAAATGCTCTGACTAGAAAGGGAAAACAAAGTCACTTCTGCAATTTACACATTAAGTATAACAAAAAAGTAAAACTGGATATGGAACCCAAAGAATAGGAAAGGTACTATACTAGGTTCAAAAGTCTATTGCATATTTGGAAAATAGCTTAACTAGAACATAGAGTTTAATCAGTATATAGTAGTGGTTTCAAAATGAAAATAAGCCTGGTAAGAGAATGTTGGAAGACCTTAGATGCTAAATTAAAGAATTTGTATTTCATCTGGAAAGAAATGTCAGAGATTATGATCAAGTTGGTAAGATTGGCTTAATAAATATTAATGGAAATGAATTTTAATTAAGAACTTTCGGGGAAGGTGGAAGTTGTAAAGAATTCTGGTTTTAGACCTATTACATTTGAGATGTTAGCAGAAAGTAGAGAAGTTCACTAAATATGGTTAAAAATGAGACCATGTAGTAGGAAAAGAGAAAAGGGTTAGACATTCAGACTTGGGAGTCATTTTAATAAAGTACGATAAGAGCCTTAAAAGTAGATAAAATTGTTCAAGGAGTGTTTAGGAAGGATCGCTGAAAATAACACTTAGGGGGAAAGTTCAGTTTCACAGAGAAAATGCAAGAGTCAGGGAAGGAAGCTAAAAGATCTAGAGAAATAGTAAATGCAGTCTAGTGTGGTGCCCAAAAGAAAAGGAGGAGTTTTAAGAATGAGAAAATAAAAATAATCTCTTCAGAATGGGAAGTCAAGAATGGTTGAGAAAGGCCATACGTTTGACAGTTAAGTCACTGCCTTTTTAATAAGGAAAATTGCAGAGGGGTATAGAAAATTTGGCATCAAAAAGAAAACAAGAGATTGAGCACAGAAGAGTTGGTCTTTGAAAGAAGAAACACCAAGAGGCAAAAAGCGTGAATGTACAGAAAATTTGGAGATGGGAATAAGTGTGGTGACGAAAATCTTTTGAGTTGAAGAGGGTATTAACTGTTTTTTTCTACTGTTTCTGAACTCCTTAAATGTTTCTGCAGCCTGTCAATTGCCATGCTATCTTTGTTTCCTCTTCTAACCCCCACATCTATTTAATTGCCAAGCCTTGTTGATTATGCTTCTCACATATGTGAGCATCTCTTCATTTCTCAGGTTTTTTATCTTTTCCTCATTTCTCTACCAACGAACTTAAAACCAGCTAGCCATTTGCCACCCCTATTTTGAAAAACCAAGTATTAAAGTATTTCTGTATTTATAAATATGAATCCTGTGGTACTTACCAGAGATATTTGAACCACTCGGACAGTATATCTCATCAATTCTTACAAGCTCTGTTAAGTGTCAAAGAATATTTCCATTTTAATTTAATTAAAAATTAAATAAGTGAATTTAAATGTTTGGGAAATTTAGAAACTATCTCAAAATTAGAGCAGAAGCTTTATCTTACTCATCTTTTTCTGAATATAGACTAGGTAATATCTACTATAGAAATAAACATGAAAAATATAAATAGCATCATGAATTTGAAGAGTG